TGCGACGATGAATGTCTGTGACCAACTAGTTGGTCGATCTGTGACCAATGTTGGTGGTGGGTTTGGATTAGGGGACGGTGTGTTTGGGTGTATGTGACCAACTATATGGTTCTCTGTGACTTTAAAATTGATAATTTGTAACTAAAAAAAGAATCTGTGACTAACAAATCTGAAAATACGTGACATGAGACATATAATTTTTTTGATTTGTGACCAATAAATTATTATGTGACCTATAAAATTTTAGATATGTGACCTTGAAATAATCTGTGACCTACAAAATTTTTGATCTGTGACCGATGAAAAAACTGTGACCTATAAAATTTTAGATCTGTGACCTCGAAATGATTCGTGACCTACAAAATTTTTAATTTGTGATCGGAGAATAGTCGCCGGAGTGGTGGCCGGAGCAGATTGTGGGGTGAGGTGGGGTGGGTTAATTATATTATATTACAGTTAAATATTTAATTTAATATAATAATTGTGAAATATATTAATTAATTAATGAAAAACCTAATTTTTGCAATTCTAAACTTTGGGCTTGATTTTTTATTTTGGGATAGATAAAGTTTGAGTTGTAAATTTTTCCCAAAAAATAAATTATAATTTTAATGAGATCCAAAAGCTTAAGCTCATTTGCTAAGCCTCTTTATACAATTCTTTAATAATGGATCACCAGTTAAAATTTGAAACATAGCCCCTAATTGATTTCAACTCTCTCAAAAATAAAAATAAAAATTCTACTTACTCATGTTTAATCATACATTTACACAATGAAATATTGTACAGGTAAATCCGAATTTTTTTCCTACTTTTCAATCATACATTCTCAAAAAACTAACTATTCAAAATAATAATTTTTTCAAAACATACCATCAAATAGGAACTAAATATAAATAGCATATATATCTAGTAAAATATGCAATCAAATAATATAAATATTTACTCATAGCACAAACCCCAAAGAAAAATTATACTAGTACATCAACTTTTGTACATAAGGGGTTACACACCCCCTCACATGGGGGTGAGAACCACTGCATAAAATATTTTTTTATTTAAACGGCCCATGTGAGGGGATGTACACCCCGATGTACATTGTGATGTACAAGTAGCAAAGTCCAACACCAAATCACTGAATCAAAGAACCAAAAAAAAATTTAAAAATCAACAATAAGAAAATACTAACTTCTATAAACGCTAAAAAAAAAAAAATTACATTCATCTGAAATAACAGAAAAATCATATTATCGATTTTTCTATCAATTCCATCGTTTTCATTGCATCCCATCGAGTCGTTGTCTCGTTGAGTTAGGCTGAATAAATTGTCAAAACTTTAAAAAAAAAAAAATTAAAACTGGAATAAATACAAATCTAAGTCAACAAACTGACCTACAGCCCATAATATTGATTGGCACTGTACTGAATAAACTTTCCCAAAATTGGACAAGGCAGGTGCAAACCAAAGGTGAGTGTAGTCCTTGGAGGGACCAAAATTCTCCTCAGTGCTGTTTCTTTCTATCGTTGCAGAAAGCCCCACTTCACTAACAGTTCACACCACTTTGAAAAACTCCTTTAAACCAAACCTAAAATAACCAAATTCTTCCCAACATCTCACCATGGCCGAACCTAAATCTAACATCTTCGTCTTCTTCTTAATTTCTTCTATTTTTTCTGTCCATTCCTTAACCCTTTCCTCAGATATTATAGCCCTCAAATCCTTCATATCTGCCATTAAACCTACCTCCATACCTCCCAATTCTTGCCTCCGCACTTGGGATTTCTCTACCGACCCTTGCTCCGTTCCTAGAGTCACTCATTTCACCTGTGGCGTCACTTGCAGTGGAAACAGGGTGGTTCAACTCACCCTCGATTCACAGGGCTACTCAGGAACACTCACTCCATTCCTTGCAAATTTAACTCGACTCATCACCCTCGATCTCACAGAGAATAATTTCTACGGCCCAATTCCGTTTTCTATTTTCTTTCTTCCTAATCTGCAAAACTTGATCCTTCGAGTCAACTCGTTCTCTGGTGTAATCCCACCTTCTGTCACCTCCCTTAAGTCTCTGAAATTTCTTGATCTTTCGCGAAATTCACTTTCTGGGTCGTTGCCGAACTCGATGAACTCGCTCACCAGCTTGGCGAGACTGGACCTGAGCTACAACAAACTCATTGGGTCTCTCCCGAAGCTCCCTTCCAACCTTAACGAACTCGCTTTAAAAGCTAATTCCTTAACAGGATCTCTTTTTTATTCATCATTCAATGCGCTAATTCAGTTGATGGTGGTGGAACTCGGTGAAAACTCCTTCACCGGAACTCTCGATGCTAGGCTCTTCCTCTTACCCTCCTTACAGCAAATCGATTTAGCCAATAATAGCTTTACAGGTATTATTGTCCCAAAGCCTCCTACAAACTTCAACAGCCAACTCGTCGCTGTAAATCTGAGTTTCAACAGGATTAATGGATTTTTACCTGCGAATTTCACTTATTACCCTATGCTGCGGTCTCTGGGACTGAGTTACAACCAGTTACGTGGACCAATCCCGAAAGAGTACAGCAAGAAGGGCTCATTACAGAGGTTGTTTCTTGACGGGAATTTCTTGAACGGATCTCCGCCGGCGGAATTTTTCTCCGGCAACACGGCTGTTACTGGTAGCTTGGGGGACAACTGCTTGACGAGTTGCCCGGTTTCTTCGCAACTTTGCTCAAAATCCCAGAAACCTGCTTCGATTTGCCAGCAGGCTTACGGTGGGAAACCAAGGTCTTGATTGTCAGTCAAATGTCCTTTAATGTGTTTTTTACTTTTTATAGATATTTTATGGTCCATTTGATTCTCATTATTGGAGAATAAAAAATATAATTGTTATCGGGCCTACACAAGAGATAGAAATTTAAAATTGATGGCTTGATTTCATGAATAACGATCATATTTTTCATTTTCATGTATGAAAAATGAGAAACAAACGATGGCTTACTACATCAATTTTTAAATTTTAGTTTATTTTTTTTAATCCTGAACAATCAAGAGTGTGTCTGCAGTACTACAAGGTCATGGTGAAAATTTAAATTTAAATTTCTAAATCAAAATTAATAATTAATTTTAATCATATATTTTGCGAGATTTTCAACTTTTCAACGAGACATTTATTAACTTTTATCAAATTTTGTTAAAAATTTAATTTTAATTTTCATCAAGGAGGGGCTTATTTTTGTGAAAGTAAATTATTATGGGAATGTGTGTTTATAAATTAGGAAAAGTTATGGGTTCATATATAGTCTTTGTTTTGTGGGGATTAAAATTAATTTTTTAGTGAATTTGAATAAAAGTTGATAAAAATATGTAGTTGAAAAGTTATGAATCCAATAAAATATGTTATTATTGGTGTGTTTGAGCCATATTATTTTGGAAAAATGTATTTTGGAATAGTAAATTGATAGAGAATGTGCGGTTAAAAAAAATGAAAAGTTATTGATGTGATAGAAAATATTATTTTATTGAAAAATGTGTGATTGAAAATAACTAGAATGAGAATAAAAATTTTAATGTATACCAAACAGAGGCATAATGTTATAAAATTAAAGAAATAAAAGGGAAATATAGCCCCTATTTAAGCCAAAATTTTTTTCATTATCATTCTTTTATTAATTTTCAACCACACATTTTTCAATAAAATAATATTTTCTATCATATCAATAACTTTTTCTTCTTTTTCAATCATATATTTCCCATCACGTCAACCAAAAAAATGCATTATTGAAATAATAATTCAGCTCAAACAGGGGCATAGAGGATAAATGGAAAGATAGTCAATACTTAAGGGTGTATTTGAACCACATTATTTTGGAAGAATGTATTTTGAAATAGTAAATTGATGGAGAATGTGTAGTTGAAAAAGAAGGAAATGTTATTGATGTGATGGAAAATATTATTTTATTGAAAAATGTGTGGTTGAAAATGAAAAGAGTACAGCAAGAAGGGCTCATTGCAGAGGTTGTTTCTTGACGGGAATTTCTTGAACGGATCTCCGCCGGCGGAATTTTTCTCCGGCGACACGGCGGTTACTGGTAGCTTGGGGGACAACTGCTTGACGAGTTGCCCGGTTTCTTCGCAACTTTGCTCAAAATCCCAGAAACCTGCTTCGATTTGCCAGCAGGCTGACGGTGGGAAACCAAGGTCTTGATTGTCAGTCAAATGTCCTTTAATGTGTTTTTTACTTTTTATAGATATTTTATGGTCCATTTGATTCTCATTATTGGAGAATAAAAAATATAGTCGTTATCGAGCTCACACAAAAGATAGAAATTTAAAATTGATGGCTTGATTTCATGAATAACGATCATATTTTTCATTTTCATGTATGAAAAGTGAGAAACAAACGATGGCTTACTGTATCAATTTTTAAATTTTAATTTATTTTTTTGAATCTCTGAACAATCAAGAGTGTGTCTGCAGTACTACAAGGTCATGGTGAAAATTTAAATTTTTAAATCAAAATTAATAATTAATTTTAATCATATATTTTGCGAGATTTTCAACTTTTCAACGAGACATTTATTAACTTTTATCAAATTTTGTTAAAAATTTAATTTTAATTTTCATCAAGGAGGGGCTTAATTTTGTGAAAGTAAATTATTATGGGAATGTGTGTTTATAAATTAGGAAAAGTTATGGGTTCATATATAAAGTCCTTATTTTGTGGGGATTAAAATTAATTTTTTAGTGAATTTTAATAAAAATTGATAAAAATATGTAGTTGAAAATTCATGAATCCAATAAAATATGTTATTATTGGTGTGTTTGAGCCACATTATTTTGGAAAAATGTATTTTGGAATAATAAATTGATAGAGAATGTGCAGTTGAAAAAAATGAAAAGTTATTGATGTGATAGAAAATATTATTTTATTGAAAAATGTGTGATTGAAAATAACTAGAATAAAAATAAAAATTTTAATGTATACCAAACAGAGGCATAATGTTATAAAATTAAAGAAATAAAAGAGAAATATAGCCCCTATTTAAACCACGTTTTTTTTTCATTATCATTCTTTTATTAATTTTCAAGCACACATTCTTCAATAAAATAATATTTTCTATTATATCAATAACTTTTCTTTCTTTTTCAATCATATATTTCCCATCATGTCAACCAAAAAAATGCATTATTGGAATAATAATGTAGCTCAAACGGGGGCATAGAGGATAAATGGAAAGATAGTCAAAACTTAAGGGTGTATTTGAACCACATTATTTTGGAAGAATGTATTTTGAAATAGTAAATTGATGGAGAATGTGTAGTTGAAAAAGAAAAAAGTTATTGATGTGATGGAAAATATTATTTTATTGAAAAATGTGTAGTTGAAAATGAGTAGAATAATGAAAATGAAAATTTTAATGTGGCTCAAACAAGGGCTAAGTGTGTTTTATTGAAAATCAATACGTCATATTTATAGGGTTCAAAATAAGAGTTATAATTGGAATGAAATAGATTTTCTATACTAAGGATGTGTTTGAGCCACATTATTTTGGAAGAATATATTTTGGAATAGTAAATTGATAGAGAATGTGTGGTTGAAAAAGAATAAAAAGTTATTGATGTGATGGAAAATATTATTTTATTGAAGAGTTATAATTGGAATGAAAGAGATCTTCTATACTAAGGGTGTGTTTGAGCCACATTATTTTGGAAGAATATATTTTGAAATAGTAGATTGATAGAGAATGTGTGGTTGAAAAAGAATAAAAAGTTATTGATGTGATGGAAAATATTATTTTATTGAAGAATGTGTGGTTAAAAATTAGTAGAAGAATGAAAATAAAATTTTTAATGTGTACCAAACAGTGGCTAAATAAGATTTATTTATGTATCATAATAACACTAAATAATCATCAATAATTATCTCATTATTTTACAACACCCTCTTTTGATGATTATTTGTATAATAAATACCTTATTGAAATATTGTTTGACAAAAATTCGATTGGACAACCAACAAATGAAAAAAGTGTACAAATAATTTAGAGTAATAAAATGTTGTCTTGTTAAAATCTTGTTAAGAAAATTCAATGAGACAAAACTTGATCGAAGGAAAAAGAATACAATTACTCCCCCTGGTTTGAAAATTCTTGTATCTGAGATTCATGTCTTGCATGTCAAATTGTCAATATCTTCAATATTGATCTCTTGTACGTCAATATCTTTAATAAAATTCAGTGGTACAAAACTTGATAACTGTAATGACGTGATGATTCAAAAAATAGCTCTTATTGATCTCTTCGAAAGTTTCATACATACCAGAGTATACTTTTTTCATTATACAAAGAATATGCATTATTAAAACCTTAATGGGAAAACCTTGTGAGAAAATTCATAATTAAGGAAAAAGAGTACACTATTTTTTTGAATACTCCTCGTTAAAAACCTTGCGAAAAAATTCAATGAGACAAAACATTGGTCAATGAAATAGAATACAACGCATATTATATCTCTCATGATAATAGCACTTGAATTATATCTTTCAGGCATAAAATCCTTCAAGAATGGCATAAAATCCTTCAAGAATAGCATTAAAATCATACAAGATAAGTTGGCTATAGTCAAATTTACTATATGCATATCAAATTTCATACATTGTCATACCAATAAAATAGAGGCTTGTGATTACATTTACCATACGATAATTTATCTACTTACACAAGTTTTTTGTGAAATTCATTATATGAAGAGTTGTACATTTCGTATTACGACTTTACTTTTTCTATATTCATTTCGCATAAATATGCATCTTTATGTGTTTGAAATATAAATCCAACTATTCCAAGTATCTTTAGTAAATTTAATTGACTAGGATTACGTCCATTTATTAGGCCAATTATTTCTTCAATCGATATACTTCGACAAATTTATTTTGATTCCTCGTTATGCATAATATGATGCAGTACATTATAAGTAAAAGTGTAGTCGCAACTCTTTTCTTTTCGATTCTATTTCTTTTCTCGTGATAACATAACTTATTGAGATATCTCAATTTTCATTATTTCAAATATATGAATCTCTTATGGGGTTTTATAATTTATTATATCTAAACACTCATCAAGAGTATAGGTTTTCTTAATGTGACCAACTTTTCTAATTGTTTCATTTTCGTTTGTAGATTTTTATAATAGAATGGAATATCATTACGCTTTAAGTGCCATAAATTTATCGAATATAATAAAACTAATTGTTATTTATGACATTATTTCGAGTTGAAGCATTTAAAATTTTTGCGAGATATTGTTGGTCTCTTTGCTCAGTAAATGCAACTAAATAAATTATCTTTCGAACTTTTGGTTCGTTTGCGAGAATTTAAATAATATTACTTTTATAAGTTATTTCCAATTTCTTAATTCCTCCCCCCTAATATTGAGAAAATTATCCAGTCAAATTGACAATCATTTTTACTATGCTATAAAATATCACTCATTTTGTATAAGGGTTCAAACCACATATTTTTTTCTCAACATTCTTCACTTTTCATTTTAGTGCATTGTGGTGGATCAAGTTTACATATATTGCACTATCGAAATAATTTGATAAAAAAAAATTAGGCTGTGACCATAGGCCAAGTTATAATTTGGAAAACTACACTGACACGATGCGTAATAACATTCCCTAAACAGAAATGAGAAGTACTTTATTGGCGTGAAGCATAATAGCATTCTTAATTCCTCTTCCTAATGTTGAAAGAATTGTCCAATCAAGAGCCTGTTGGGTACAGATTCTCATTTTCTACATTAAATCAATTCTCATTTTCAATAACACATTTTTTAATAAAATAATATTTTTCATCACATCAATAACTTTTCATTCTTTTTCAACCACACATTCTCAATCAATCTACTATTTCAAAATATATTTTTCCAAAATAATGTGGCTTAAATTGAAGTAATTTAGGCCCTGTTTGTTTCTGATTCTTAAATCAATTCTCAAATCAATTCTCATTTTCAACCACACATTCTACAATAAAATAATATTTTCCATCATATCAATACTTTTTTCTTATTTTTCAACCACACATTTCCCATCATATCACTATTCAAAAATTAATTCTTCCCCCAAAAATCTCTACCAAACACACTCCAAATTAACAAACTTTTTACTATGTCATAAAATATCCCCCGTTTGAAGGGATGGCAAAAAAGTTCGATTTATAAAATATCCCCCGTTTGATATAATGGTACAAACCACATAGGGATAGCAAAAAAGTTCGACGGCTTGGGCTTGGTCCAGGAAAAGCTCGAGCCAGGCCCGGCTCGATTAGCTGCCTGCTTTTAAAAAAATTGAAAAAACTTCTGTAGATTTGGGGAAAAAAAATCGAACGGCTCGATTCTGCTCGACCTGGCCCGTTAAGGCTCGAGTCGAAAACTCGAGCCAAGCTTCGTTTTTTTGTCCGAGCTTTTGCCCTGCTCTGCTCGGCTCGGCTCGGGCCAAAAAAATGTCGGCCATTTTTTGCTCGGGCTCTGAGTTTCGGCTCAACTCGTTGCCTGACTAAAACTACATATTTATTCTCAACATTCTTTACTATTTATCTTAGTGCATTGTGGTGGATCAATTTTACAATATAATCTGAAAATTATATTCATAATTTGAGCAATAACTTCGCAAACTTCAGGTTGCGAACACCATGCAATCAACTAGTACGTGTACCAAATTTATTAGATACAAATAATATTTAGATGATCAACGTGCAGAGTGAAGACCATTTACTACCCTATTTAATTTTCAGAAATATAGGGAATCCTGTCCCGATTTTAGTTTGTGATGAGTAATGATCAATTTCCACAAAAGAGAACAAACATCATATATGATTTCATCGGATCAAAGAATCTCGTGATTTTTCATTGAATGTCAATTTTGAATATTTTTTTTAATTTTGCATCATTATTGATCCAATGATGGTTCTACTGGTCATGCCAAATAATAAAATCAAATTGAACTTCTTGTTCAATATTAGATATAACTCAATTATTTAATTTTGAAAATATGATTAAACATTATATAATCATATATAATTCAAGTAATCAAATTAATCAATGTCCTCATAACATTAGTTATATGTTTTCCTTTAGCGATAAACATGAATTTAAAATGACACATTTTTCGAAACACGCGCTACTTGAGAGCACATTGTATTTATTA